TATTTATATTTTAGAATATTTATGTTTATGTTTATTAGTTTTTTACTTACACTTTTAACATCACCAAATATACAAAATCAGCCCTGTTTATTGGTCCAATGCAAATTAGAATATGCAAATCCGCTGTTGTATATGCAGTGGCTCACTTCGAATGTGCATTTGTATGAAAATGCTGATAAATGAGACTCATTAGTAGCGTTTGCATTTGAGAATGCATAACATAAATGCAATATTAGATAGAAATCAGTGGATTGTTTGTTCTGTCTGTGAATATCTCTCCTGGATTTGGCTTTCCTGCACAGTTTCTGGACGCCGTGTGCATGTTCTTGTGGGCGTTCGATGCAACCAATGCTTTGAATGTTTCCCAGCAGAAGGAAGCATTAGTGTTATTTTCATCTTCAGTCCAGATTGACTGACACTTCGCCCTCGGCTGGACATACAGAGAGCCAAACACATTTTCTAAGCCGCTGCACAGAAAAAACATCAGCTCTGCTCATTTATAACTCATCTCTAATAACTGATTTATTTTATCTCTGTCATGATGACAGTAATATTAGACTAGATATTCTTTAAGACACTTCTTTGCAGCTTAAAGTGGAATTTAAATGCTTCACTAGGGTAATTAGGGTAACTATAGGCAGGTTAGGGTAATTAGGCAAGTTATTGTAAAATGATGGTTTGTTCTGTAGACTATCAAAACAAAATTGCTTAAAGGGGTATTTATATATATATCATGCTTTTTAGGAATATTAAATCACAAACATCCCAAGAAAACCTTGTATAATATGTATATATAGTTAATTAACAAGAACTTTTTAATTATCAATTCCTCAAAAAAAAAAAAAAGATTTATTTATAATTATAAGAAAAAAAGATTTATTAAAAAAATATGCTATTTTTGAAACTATGCTATAATTTTTAATAAATTGCAACACCATTAAAAATGGCAAAGAATTATTATAATAAAGTATTTACTAATATTGAGAATTTTCTGATCAATTTTAAAAGATATTTATTTAAATGTTATGCAATAAATGTTATGTGCAATTATTAAGTATATTTAAGACTTATTTTAATAGGTAATTACTAACATTTCTCATTCCTATTTTTATTTTCATAGTTTTTTTTTGTTTTGTTTTTTGTTAAGTTTGAAATTATATTAATTTCAGTCTAGTCATTTTTGTACTAATTTATTAATTAAAACATTTTATTTCATTTTTTTATTTACCAAATTAATAGTTTTTTCAGCTTTTAACCTTTTTTGCTGTTTTTTCCTTTTTGTTTTAATTTAAAATATTGAAATTTTTAGTTTATTTCAGCTTCAGTAATTTTACTTAAACTAATAAACTTTTATTTAATTTAGTTGACATTTACATTCGGAACTGATATTTCGACATTTTTCCAATCTAATATATATATAATATATAAAATAAACATACATCAAAATTAAATTAATTAATTAATTAATTAAAAAAAACAAATATATATATATATATATATATATATATATATATATATATATATATATATATATATATATTTATTTATTTATTTATTTTAATTTTTTTTTATGTATGTTTATTTCCATTTCGGTAATTTTAATACTGAGACAAAAACATATATATATATATATATATACATATATATATTTGTTTTTTTTAATTAATTAATTAATTAATTTAATTTTGATCCAGTTTCAATCCAGTTTCAGTCATTTTAGTGCTTATACTAAATTTTATTTTGATAAATATTTTATTTATTTTTAATTCATGTTTATTTCAGTTTCAGTCATTTTATTTCTTAAATAATATATTTTTTTTATTTCAAAGTACTATTTACAGTGTTCAGCTTAATTGAATATTTTTCTCCATTTCTCTGTAAATATAATTAATATATATTGCTGCATTTGAACAAAACAGATTTATTAAACAGATATATTTATTAAAATAATATTTTAGTCACAGAGCATCTTTAGAAATAGAAAGATAATACAATTAAATGCATGCAAAATATTGCAAAACTACAACATTGTATATATTATTTGTTTCTATTATTGTTTGCTATTTTTGATAATTTTATTTAATATTTTTCCTAACATATAAATATGGGCTAATAATTTTTAAAGCATTTTATGCAAGTTATGTTGTTAGATGAGCTCCAGATCTGGCTTCAGAACTGACTAATCTAATGTATATGCACAAATGTAATATTGTAGAGCTTCCTATTAAAAATATGAATTTAAATGAGAAAACTGTTGGGTTATACTCATTTATGCAGAGCCCTGTATACTGTTTGAATAATGTTAGTACCTAAAAAAAGCTATTTTTTTATTTCAAAACATTATATATTCAGTTTTAATAGGCTACTTTACTAGCTGCCAAATAAACATTTCATTTAATCACATTGCTCCTCCAATTCTCCTTATGCATGAAATGCAATGCAAATAATCTGAACTGCAATGCAAACATTACAAAAATATCTGTAATAACATAAATAATGTCTGCATTGTCCTGCTTTACACTGAGCTGAAATGTGGGACACTGAGAGCAGCAGCGAGGATTACTTTCATGCATCTCTAAAAGCACAAAACATCCTTCATTCACGTGAGAAAAGGACATCTGCAATCCTTAAAATGTCATATTTTATATTTCTTATCTCATATTTCGGTGTTTTATTGTTTCTCCAACCCAAACAGATGCAGACAGCATGTGATGCAGATGTCATTATCTATTTAAATATTCGTCCTAGTATCCCAGAAACACACAGCTCATGCCAAACACACACAACATCATCACAATAGTGTTTATAAATATGTTTTATATATGTGAATATAGATAAATACCGACCTCTCCATCCTCTGCGTGTGCCCGCGGCAGGTGAACGCGCAGACGCCCATTCATTCATTCGCGCCGAGTCATAGAAACACACAAATACATGTCATTTATTGTTATTTCAGTCATATATTGATAAAAGTTGAGCTTTCTCACCTGATTTCACCGTCCTGCTCTTGTACCTGGCGCTGCTCGTCATCCCGGCCGCTTTCCGAACGCCGAATGACTAGCTAGTACTATGCTGAAGGCTGGATCGTTAATATTCATGAGCTGCGCTTCTTATTGGACGCCTGTTGGTTGGAGTGTGTCGCGATCAATGACTGTAAAAAATATGGACGACGCGACAGCCCCTTTTGCCATTGAACGCCTTGAGGGCAAAACGCCTGCTTGACGGGCACAAACTGTCGCAAAAGACTGCTGAAATTGGAGCCAGACATGCGCAGAAGGACTGTCTGATGGAGCCAGAGGAGGAGCCGCGATAATGAGCGGAGTCGAGCTTCCAACCAAACGCTTTATGTAAAATCAACCACGCCCCCCGAACTTCTCACTCGACTGCCGGTGTCTGCACTATAACAAACGCTCACTGATGTAAATAGAAGCACTTACATTAAAAAAACACAATAATATACGGTTTAAAAACGGTGTGATGTAAGCTGTTAAACTTTAATAAAAGCAATACATGGTGGACTGCAGAAATAAACGATCTTTTATACACTCTAGCCTGAATATGAGCACAAATAATATATTCTCTTATTGTTATATTTGTTGTTGGTATTTGTTATCTTCATAGGGGTAGAAATAACACTTGTAAAATATGAACAATAACATATAAACAACACGTACATTTTTAGAAAGGTTTTTATTTTTAATTAGCCATCAACAGAACCCAAAATATAGCCTATACGATTTACCATGCGGGAACAATCGTGCGTTTAGAAGATAAATACAGCAAGATTACTAAATATCAACAGGATATTTACACATCCCAACCCTGCAATTTGTCAATTTGTGCAAAAAAACTTTGCACTATTAATACAACGTCTATCTGCTGTAACATCACTAGTATATTGTTTATTCATTTTCGCTTGAATTGTTTATTTATTTAATTTTTTTGCCTCCGTTTTTATTTGGTTTATTCGATGCCTTCATTATATCTGGCAACGAGGAATTTACATTCTTTTTAATGTTAGCTGGAGTGTTCAAATAAAACGCCAACAGTAAATGATGTAAATAAATAATATCTAACATTTACAGCTCTATTAGGTTATATAAGATTCGATTTCAAGAACCTTATAATGATTTATAACAGCAAATTCAGTAGATCACTTAGTAACATGCCAAAACTTAAAATGCAGAGACGTCCTATAAAGCAAGTTCAAATAACCTTACAGGACATCAACGTGGAGATTATTATTTAGACACAAAGAGAATTACTGCTAACGATCTCCTGTATACCCCGTACTTAAATGGGTTTATTTTATTGTGCAGTTTTATTGTCATTTTCGTATTTATTATTATTATTATTTAATACTTGTGCAATCGATACAGGTTTATTGTTATTTATTTTGTCCTTTATTTAAATAATTGCTATGCTGTTTGCATCTTTATTCAAAGGTTAAACTCAGTGATACACTTTGCGTTCACATAGTAGCATGCGTTTGTTGTTATATCAACAAAAATGGGTGTAATAACGTTAACAAATGTGAGGGTTTTATATAATGAAGATTCAATCGCGCCAGCTCCGGGCATCAGCGCATAACCTAGTCGCGGCGTCGCGGGCTGATTCCGGCTCGCATGCGGCAGCGCCTGCTCGCTCGGCCGCCGCATCTGGCTCAATTGACTCTGGCTGGAATCGGGCAGTGAGTCCAGGCATCCGGAGTAGGTCCAGCAGAGGTAGTCAGTCTGAGGGGTAAGTCTCCGGCAGGCAAGAACTGGCCCCAGTGTATTTTGCTATCTGGGTGGCTAGGCGTTTATTAGCAAACTAATAAAGCCCGAAAAAAGCTCTGACCTTAGCGAATAAACAGTGTTCCACCAGATCATGTATGTCAGAAACTGTAGTTTACTGCTGAACTCATTTTGTCATAGTAAAATATCACAGAAATCGAATAATAACACTTCAGTCTTCTACCGAAGCTCAGACGCCGCGCTTTGAGAAACTGTCAATCACTGCTGTTAATCACGATGACACGCCCAGCATTAAATTACTGCTAAAAACAAACTGTTTACAAAAATGAGGATCTGCACCTATTTCAGCACAATAATCAGTGCCTTAATCGACCAGAACCATCTTTCGGGACATTTTATTGCAAGTGTAATTAATTTTTTTATTTGGGCTCAAGTCTCCTTCATTAACACGGAGGAGGCGGGCTTTATGACTTGTACTGCAGCCAGCCCCCAGGGGGCGATCTAACGGCCGAGACCTTCACTCAAACGCAGGCTTGCGGCACACTTGGTCGCGATTTGATGGCAGCCGCGCAACAGCACTTATACGTAATTAATATTTATAAGATGGTGTTTAATCATAGTAGGATTCGTATTTTCGCTTCGGGAACAGCTGGAGTAAATATGATGCGCTGGGGGAGGATCGTCGAATTAAAAGCGTAATTCTGTTGTGTTGTGGTTTGTTATTATAAAGCTTATCTCTTGCGAAAAGCGCTTTTTGATCATTTAAAAATGTATTAAAACTTATATATTGGGATATATGTGCATAATATAACGTCATATGATTTATAGATACTGTATGCAAATAAATTGCCCCATATATTTCGAGAGACTTGGATAAATTAGTTAAGTATCAACTCACACCAAATCTTATTTAATAAAACATAAATACAAATATTTAAACGAATATTATTATTATTATTATTTAATTATTATTAATTATAATATAATTTTTTAATTATATATATATATATATATATATATATATATATATATATATATATATAATCATATTTTATATATTTTTAATTATATATAAAATAATAATAATAATAAACTATTGATATATTAAACTAATAAATTAATATATTTAATTACAATTTTAATTAATCACAGCATTGGTTTTGAATGGTTTTGAATCAATCGTTTTTATCACATGATTTAATATCATTTTAATTAATTAGTTCTATTTTTATTAATTTGATAAACTTTAAATACTGTAAAGACGTGTAAATAAATCGACCCACGCATATATTTCGAGAGTAAAATTTGTTTAGTATCAACTTAGACCTTAATCATGCCTAATCAATAATAAATTAAATATCTAATTAAAACTAATACTAATAATGATTAAATTACATTATTATTATTATTATTATTATTATTATTATTATTATTATTATTATTATTATTATCATCATTATTATTATTATTAATATCCAAAACTTTAGTAAATAAAATAATAAATAATAGCAATATATCAAAATATTAATTAATAATCACAACAGTTGCTTTTTTATATTTAATATATTAATGTTTAATAATTTGATTGACTCTTATGCTGTAATAAATAAATTAATTGTAAACACATACATAATACAACTAAACTCACTCCTCTGACCTCTAAAGGTGCCCTAGCGACACTTGAGATCATGGTCTTTCGCCTCCTTGGTAGAGCAACCGACTCCCATGCTGAAGGTCGCCGGTTCGATACCAGCTCAGAGCGGGTAGGGTGGCGTAGGACGGGCGGGGTTACACTGGCCATAAAGCCCTTTTTCCAATTCTGATTAGTGTAGAGCAGATGTAGTTCTCTCACAGAGACACACGGTGGCAGTATGAGCTCAAATGCGGTCTATCACTATATGCATTAGATGTATGCATGTGAGAAATCCTTTGTGTGCTTGAATGAGGATGATGTAGGTCATGCATGTGTGTGTTCTCATGCACTGAAGGGCAGAATGAGAGGAAGACGTCCGGAGAGCCACACAATAGCGAGAGCCAGCTCTGTAAATACTGCTCAGGAAACCCAGTGTCAGGATCCTCTCCATGGCAGAAACAGAGCTTTCATTTATTCTACAAATACATCAAAGGATGCTTACATTAGTAATGTAAATCTGTTATCGGTTTTTATTTTTTGAGCCTATTAATTTAGCCTACATATAACAGAAATACGACTTTCACCAGACTAAAAAAATATAATATGAAGTCATGTTTAAAATGTTCTTGCTCTTAAACATCACTTGAGAAATATTTGAAGAAAGATTGAAACAGGATGGTGACTAACTTTACCTTTAACTACAAATACACTCACCGGCCACTTTATTAGGTACACCTATCCAGCTGCTGGTTAACACAAATTTCTAACCAGCCAATCACATGGCAGCAACTCAATGCATTCAGGCATGTAGACATGGTCAAGACGATCTGCTGCAGTTCAAACTGAGGATCAGAATGGAGAAGAAAAGGGATTTTAAGTGACTTTGAGCGTGGCATGGTTGTTGCTGCCAGACGGGCTGATCTGAGTATTTCAGAAACTGCTGATCTACTGGGATTTTCACGCACAACCATCTCTAGGGTTTACAGAGAATGATCTGACAAAGAGGAAATATCCAGTGAGCGGCAGTTCTGTGGGCGCAAATGCCTTGTTGATCCCAGAGGTCAGAGGAGAATGGCCAGACTGGTTCCAGCTGATAGAAACTCAAATAAGCACTCGATACAACCGAGCTCTGCAGAAGAGCATCTCTGAACACACAACACGGCCAACCTTGAGGCGGATGGGCTACAGCAGCAGAAGAGCACACCGGGTGCCGCTCCTGTCAGCTAAGAACAGGAAACTGAGGCTACAATTCACACAGGCTCACCAAAACTGGACAATAGAAGATTGGAGAAACGTTGCTGCTCTGATGAGTCTCCATTTCTGCTGTCGGATGCTCGGCTCACAATTTGGCCTCAACAACATGAAAGCATGGATCATCCTGCCTTGTATCAGCGGTTCAGGCTGGTGGTGGTGGTGTAATGGTGTGGGGGAGATTTTCTTTGGGTCCATTAGTACCAATTGAGCATCAACGCCACAGCCTACCTGAGTATTGCTGCTGACCATGTCCATCCCTTTATGAGCACAGTGTCTCCATCTTCTGATGGCTACTTCCAGCAGGATAACGCAGCATGTCATAAAGCTCAATCATCTCAGACTGGTTTCTTGAACATGACGTTGAGTTCACTGTACTCAAATGGCCTCCACAGTCCCCAGAGCTCAATCCAATAGAGCAGCTTTGGGATGTGGTGGAACGGGAGATTAACATCATGGATGTGCAGCCGACAAATCTGCAGCAACTGT